TATCTATGAGGTATCAGTTGGAAATAATATAAAAGAAGAAACACTAAATGATGGTACCCTACAAAAATATTTTCTCACAGGTATGTAATCATAACCATAATCTTAAACAACAATGTTATAATTAGAAACAATATTTTAATAAAGTCAATAGTGATTGCACGTTAAACATATACTTGTATCATAGTTATAATTAATAGCATGAAAAACACTTTTATTTCAGCCTTTAAGTATCAAAAAAAGTACTATGGACTCATATGCTTTCCGTATGACCCCGCCGGACAGCGCTAAGTGTCTGTAATTATTTAGGTAGGTAAATATCAAGCCATAGCTTTTTGAACAATAGTACATAGTAGTGTTAGTAACAAATGACTTATAAACCAGTGTTAGTAAACATTAAAGTGTGGACAAACTTTTTCGAAATCGGAGAATTATAGTTATCCGCTACTGTTTTTAAAATGCTGATGTGGCTATCTCTCACCCTTTTTAGAAGCGAAGCTGTTTTCTTGCGTATTATCGCATGAAAGCCGTCCGTGCGAGCTTGCGCAAACATCTCCGACGCACTACAGTAGCGAGGCAGTCCCAACAACATTCCGAAAGCGTTATTATATTGAACACGCAGGACATCCAGCGACCTTTTATTATAATTGACCCATAGATTGCTCGTATACAGACTCTGGCGGTATACCTTAAATAGGGTAATTTTAACTAGGTCCGTACATCGAGCAAATCTACGGGCCAGCATGTTACTCCTGACCGCTGGAGTGCGTTCCCTCTCAATATCTACATTGTCTTTCAGGTCATCGGCAAGAAAATGACCTAGATATTTAAAGGACGCCACTTTTTTAATTTTTGACCCATTCAAGAACAGGACAGGTTCATCAGTCCTAGGCTTGCCCCTGAACATAAAGACAATGTACTCACATTTTTGACATTATATGCCAAACCATGCGACTCAGCATAGGCTTCACACACCTTCAATAGCTCTCTTACTGACCTCACCGACGGTCCCAGCAGCACTATATCATCTGCATAGCTGATGTTATTAATACTAACCCCACCAAGACTGCTGCTGACTTGCTGCTGAGCTCGCCTATGAGAGCATCTATATATAGGTAGAATAATCTGGGAGACGTTAGACCCCCCTGCTTTACCCCGCATTCCAACCTATACGGTTCACTAAGAGTATCGTCCCATTTCACATGATTTATTTGCTTACTGTACCACTATTTGAGTAGACCACATATCTCTGACGGTACACCCCTGTCCTCTACCTTCCTCCAGAGGACGTCATATGAGACGAAATCAAATGCCCTGGAAAGATCAGGGAAACAGGCATATACCGGGGTACCACGACCTACGTAATATCGAACGGTGTGCTTTGGACTTAAAATAGCACTTTCGGTTGATAGTCCTGGTCTAAACCCGAACTGTATGTCATGCAGTTGAATGTGGTCACTTAAGATGGTATCAAGCACACCGTCCAACAACTTTGCTATGATAGTCGCTAAGGAAATAGGACGATAGTTACCCTTGTCAGAGATGTCTCCCGTCTTCTTGTCTATTGTCTTCATCAGATTTGTAGGTAAGTAAGAGGACTAATACACATTGTGTAGAACAGTGCCAGGACTCGCGGCAGGTGAAATCCAGCGTGCTTCAGGTGCTCAATGCTGAGCCCGCCGTGTCCTGGAGATTTACCTCGGCTCATACCTTTTATGATACTACGTATCTGTTTAGCAGAAATTTGCACAAGAGGTTCCTCTCCCCCACAAGCGGTCTCAGAACTACCCACTTGTGTTGAGGGCCCAAGTGGAGATTGTACTGTAAAATGTTCCATGAACACATTAGTGAATGTCACTGGGCACATTAATTCCTCCCACGCTCTTAGCAAGACTAGGCTTAGTGTCCAACTTACTGGTCGACTTCCAGAAATTTTTAAAGTCCCTTGTTTACCCCCGATTGCCTCGAGTGGGGTGAAAAAACGGATAGCGTAGCGCGCGAGGGGAGGCTAGTTGCGTCGTACGCGCAGAGCAAGTGTGGCAGTCGGCAGGAAGCCTTTGTGCGCTGCGTCCGCGCCAGTTAAATGTCGGGCGTTACATAATCTCCCGGGTCGAGTTAGGGGTCGCGAGTTTGATATAATTTTGCGTCGAAAGGGCGGCCTCCTTGTGTTATCTTATATTTGTACGTAACCGTGATAACGAGGCTTATTTCTTGAGTTTATTTGCGCGAAGCTCGGGTCGATTACACGTTGAGAGCCTCCTTGTGTTATCTTATATTTGTATGTTTCCGTGATAACGAGGCCATATTATATAATTATTGTTGTAACAGTTTGAGTATTGTTTGTGACTGGCATGCGGTTGCGCGCGGCAGGTGTTGACTCGAATGCCTAAGGCTTGTGTTAATTGTGCACGCCATATTGAATTTACTATTGAATATTTGAGTATAGTCTAGACCGCCTCGAATTTAGTTGTCTGTTTTGAACGCGTTACGTGGATGAGTCCTACTTGGATTTTTGTAGTGGTTAAAGAAACTTTTATGCCGTTAATTGCATCGACGAGTTAGTAGTTGTGCTAAGTGAACCTGGGACTTTGAACTTTGACCAACCGTCCTTAAGTTGTGCAGCGTGTCACTTGTTTTAATGTCGAATAACGTTGATTTGGTTGAATTGAAGTTAATTAAATGGTCAATAAAGTTGATAAACTAATATAGTAAAAATTGAAGTGGAAGTTTTCCATTGGTGAACGTCCCCTTGAATGGATCCTACCATTGGAAAGAGGCAGCGCCTTGGGATCTGCTGTCCAGGATCGGCGGGGATGTCAGGTTACACATTGAACACATTACTGCACACCACTTACATGCACATCACCTTTCACCTGACAAATGCCCTGTGGTTAACCCTACCTCTGCCAATCGATAAGTGTTGCTTGCTTCTTTGTTAGCCGTTATAGTTTAGTTATCCATAGATCAGTTGGACCCTCCCTTTTGTTACTCGTCTAGTTAGAGTACTGATGGGCCCTAGTTTAATAGTCTTTTGTCAGGGTAACTGGGGGCGGTAACATCCCCTATTTGCTCTTTGTTGAGCTAATGTATCCATTTTGATTTGCTTAGCATTTTTCTGACAAAATTTGAGTTTACTCTTAAAAATTTTCGCTTTTCACTCATTTCATCATAAATAAGACCAGATAAGGGACGACCACTGAGTACCCAGTTCTTAAAACTACATCTGGCCACATAGTGAGCGTCTTTTACATAGCTTTTCCACCCACATACGCGCTTACCCCGCCTTGGTCCCCCCTTACAAGTCACTCTGGATTCCTTAGGTACCTCAGATAATATACTAACAATCTGTTTATACAAATTATCTAATACGACCCTATGTTCGGCCAAGCCACAGAAGCCATTCGTACAGTTTGTAAACTCATTAGGAAAGTCAATGTCCCGCAATTTGCTATTACAAAGGTTTTGGTAACATTGCGTTTCTACATTTGTTCTTTCACCCCATAAGACCACGTTTCTATAATGACTTCTAACTGTCCGTTGAGGCCTGACCACCTCTAAGTTACATTCTAAATATATTGGTAAGTGATCAGAAATGTAAACATCTTCGGAGACACCTACATTCTTAATTGCATTCCAGGCTAATTTGGATACTAAACAGTGATCTAGCCACCTCCTACTTCCATGAGCGTCACTTATGAATGAACTTTATGTGGATTAGAAATAAAGTAGGACCCAGGACACTGCCTTGTGCGGCCAAAAGCATTATGTCTATGTCAACTACGGGTTTGATATTAAATCCGATAATTTCGATGAAGCTCCTGACGCATTAGTGTTTTTATTGTATTTATATTATATTATGGTATAAACATTGTGTGGAAAGTACCCATAGCCAAATTTTTGATTAAATTTGTATTAAAATTTGAGTTTGATCAGTCTTTCCAAAACTGGCCATAATTATATTTACTAATAAAATCATAATTTTATATTACACTAAAAACCCTTCACTGCTGGCCGTATGAGGAAGCTCAAAGTCGCTTAGCGAGCTACGGAGACGGCTCGGGGTTTTCTGCACGATAAACATAGAAATAAAGATATTCACTGTAGAACCAGAGAGACCGACATAGTCCAACGGATAGCCAGTAAGCTGAATTGGCAATAGGCTGACCATATAGTTCGAAGAATCGACAACCGATGTGGAAAAAAAAGGTTCTCAAGTGACAGCCTCTTAACGGTGGGCTAAAGTGCAGGGTGACCCTCCAATAGATGGAGTGACGACCTGGTAAGACATGCAGGAAGTCTATGGATGCGGGTGGATCATAATCGTGCTTTGTGGCACCCCTTTGGGCAGGCCTATGTTCAGCAGGCGACTTGTGAAGGGCTGTAGGTAATGAACGAAAAAACACTAAAAATCACTTTTGACAACGCTGAACTTATGCGGACTATGATGATTTATTTATCGATAAAATTATCGACATAGTTCTAGCTTTAAGTTCTTTACGCATGTAGACAGCGGCATCAGTGTATCGACAAGTGTACAATTTGATGCTATGCGTAAATGCAATGAACACAAACATAAATACTGTAGTGTGTGTGTATAGCGATTCAATTTTGCATTTGTAGTGAAGTATAACAGTAGTATGTTTTTCTTGCCCCCCCCTGATATTGACAGACTTTTTGGTTAATTGCATTGGAATTAACGCGCATGGCCTGTCCAGTTGGTTGTATACTACGTTAGTACTCTTATTAGTTTGTGGTTACTCAAAGTGGTAGCGGGAAAAACAGGGAATTAAGTTTATTGCTGCTGCGAGTTCTAAATTCAACATTGGCAACACTGTTTCAAACTTCAAATGTGGCGGCGGCGGTAAATATTTTGACAAATAAAAAACAACCTATTAGCGTAGTATTCTCTTAGTAGTCTGTGCCTATGGAAATAGGAATTAAGAAGTACTTGCACAAATAACACATCAAACAAAAATTAAACATCAAGTTTGTAATTCAAAATTATGTCTAATACTTCTAGGTATAATATGTATTTATTACTGGTCTATAATATGTGTTTATTATATAGTCTGCTTTTTGAAACTATAATAACAACTTGTTCCCGCTGCTTTTTTTAGTTACTGGAAGCGGTTATGGCGTTGGACTACTTCACAAAGTCTTTCAACAGAAGAAATAGAACTCGTATTCACACAAGACATTATTGAAGGGCTAAAACAAGGTCTTGCCAGCTACAAACCAAGAGAACCCGATGAGTTTACTCGGCTGCAGTCCAAGCATGCAGATCAAGGAAAGCTACTCAGTGTTGTTCAGACTTTACAGAACTACATGGTTGGTTTTATGGAATATTATTTTAGTACTGTAAGACACTGGTTGTACAATCTCAATACTGATACTTATATTGAATGGAATAGTGTTGGATAAAGGACTACATATTATCTTATCTGTGGTTTTTATGATCAGTATTAGTTACATTTACTATTTATTGTAGCAATTTTTAATACAAAAAGATTATGTTGTAGTTTATCTTTATAAAACATAAAAAATGTTTGTGCCTATGCTAGTTATAGACTGAAACCATCCAACTGATGTGCCGCAAACCAGTTTCATTAGAAAGGCAATAATGCGGAGATGGTTTTAGGCCAATAAAATAATACATTAAGTACTGTAGAAAAAAATTGATAAATAAACAAAAGTTCGTTTTTCTTTTAACAGATAAAAATAATGTATTTCTTTTTTTTACATAGAAGCACACATTGGGTAAACGCTAGTAATATTTTAAATGTGTAAGAGAATTTCTTTTTAATAACATGATTAATTTATAAAAGATTCAGCAGAATATAGTAAGCAGTTAGTAAAATAAATACAAATAATACGAAAATAAGTTAAGTATGTAAACCAACAGCAGTGAAGTTTGCAACATAACTCCACTACTTGCACTGAAGAATTACCACAAAGGATAGAATCTCAATAAAACCTCCGCTTCATACTTCATACTGCTAAAATATACACTGCCGGCCAAAAGTTTAAGACCACCTTAATTAAAGTAAGAAACTTAAATAAAACTCCAATAAAACACTTTTTGTCAATCAATATGCTTGAAAAATGTTAAGAAATGTTAATAGTCGATACTAAAAAAGGCTATAGTTAGCTAATCTGATTTTTCATCAAAAAATCCTTTGCATTCTATGACTTTTTTCACAAGTCTCGGCATATAGGCAATTAATTTGTTGATAGTGTCGTGATATATTGCTCCAAATATCGCACATAGCATTCCACATTTCTTCTCGCAGGGATGGACCACAATTATGGACGTCAAGCTCTTCCCACAAAAGTTTGATGGGACTGAAATCTGCGCTCTGAGGAGGCTAAACCATGTTTTTTAACACCCCTTGTGCCTCTTTCTCTTCTAAATATCCTCTGCATAATTTTGAGCTATGCTTAGCTTAGGATCATTGTCCTGTTGGAAAATGTTGGATTTCCAGTGCTGTTAAGTGTCTATTTTGCTTGCTGGTTACAACAATTAAATGATCTTCACTTGACATGGTAACTCTAGGCCTTTGTGTGTGTGAGTGATCTTGAAAAATGCCTGTCTTCCTGTATCGAGATATTGTGCAATGAACACAAGTCTTCGATAACTTCATTTGTAAAGCAATCTCACGTTTGGATTTGCCTTCACTATGTAAAACAAGTCGATGGATGTAGGTGGCTCAGGACCGTGCTTTGTGGCATACCTTGGGGGAGGCCTATGTTCAGCAGTGGACTTGTGAAGGGCTGTAATAATGATGATGTAAAACATTGATGGCAGAACGCACTTCACTGCTAATTTCGTGTGCTTTACCCGTTTACAGACGTCTTCACTATAGTAACTACAAGTTTAGACTAATTAAGATTTTTTGTGAACAAAACCATGTAAACTCAGGTAATAAGTCGGAAACACGTGTTTTTAGAAGCTAAATTATCCTAATTATTGACCAATTAGAAACAAAAGCAAAGCATTTAGTTATTAGCCCATCATAAAAATATTATTAACCACCTGGCTCTATGCCTTTGTCAGCAGCATTTGTAGGTTTTTGAAAACAATACATGTTTATTGTCCAATAACTTGAAAGATAATAAAAGAATGACTTCTTTTGATATTCGAAATTAACAATAGAATATGCAGGTGTACATTTCTTTTATTTACCTCATAGGATTTTGTTACAATTTATAGATAATTATGTTGTTTTAAGTGTGGTCTTAAACTTTTGGCCTGCAATGTAGTTATAAGTTCTTCCCTCCCTTCATATTTTCTTTTATTTTCTACCTTTATTCAAAACACTTTTTTATTTCAGTTTTCTAGAATTGTTGTTTCAAATGAGACTGAAATGTATCTAGGAACTATAACTCTGTCTGCTGTCTATAATTAATTATTATTACAGCCCCTTACAAACCAATGTTGAACATAGGCCTCCCCTAAAGTATGCCTCAATGCATAGTCCTGTTTAACCTGCTTCCATTGACTTCCTGCATGGGTTACCACATTGTCACTTAATCTAATAAGGAGCTACCCCACTTACCGGAACGAGACTGCTAATCACAAACACTTATTCCCCATTAGTTATTGATTCTTCATGTTATATGGGTCACCCATTGCTACTTTGGTTTACCAATCTCTTGGGCTATGTCATTTACTCTAGTTCTACAGAAGATATCTTTCTAATGAATTCTACCACAAAGAGAAACTCCAATTAAAGCCCTAACCATAACTTGCTGAGCAAGATTAAGCTTCCTCATTCTGCCAGCAGTGAAGTACAATGTCTCAGATTTACATGTCATTACTGGCATGCTGATTACTGCCATAAATATATAGTATAATATTTTTTACATTGTGTTAGAGTGACAAACAATGTTACTGTTCTAACATGTCTGTTACATATCTTTTAGCTCATAGAATGTGATAATTCTGACTCCATATCCGCTTAAGCTGGGATACAGTGGATGTAGTGTGGTTTAGCGTTAAAAACAGGAAAGGGCAAAAAAAATATTTTATAGAATTGGGTGACAAACAAGCACACAATCCACCTGATGGTAAGTGCTGTGGTCCATAGACATCTACATTTGTCCTCAAGAATCAAATGTAGAGGCATTGCCACCCCTAAGGACTAAGATGGAATGCCTCTTTTCCAGTAAAAAGGATCTCCAATTCTCTACTCTTACCATATGAAACACAGCAGAATTAAGCTGCTATTTTACACTGGTATTTCTTGAGTGTGTTCCTACAACCATAACATAGCTGTAGTGTGGCTCTACCACATACTATATACCTGTCCTAAATTCCTGCTCAGAATTTTACTAGAAAATAACTTAGAATATCATAACACTAGAAGAAAAAAAGTGTATTAAAACATTGTATTAGATGATTAATAATCATTTGCCTTATTTTCAGGATGTAAATTGCTTTCAAATATGGGAAATAATAAAACATTACATGTGTGATATTTCATATGGAACACCAGCAAATGCTTTAAAGAATGTAGCATTTGTTGATACAAGACCCACATTCTTGTCGCCTAACGTTTGGCACTTTTATTATGCTGAAAGGTTATTTCTTCTTAAACTATTGCAATACATTATTCAATTCAGATCAAATATCAGTCACAAATATAATGAACAATTCGCAAAAATAATCAACAATATAGGTATCCAAAACATAAAAACATCTCTTATTAAACAGTTTGAAAAATTATTGTGTGAGGCACCACCATCTAGAAAAATTCAAAGTGAATTTGGTAGTGAAATAATTCGACAAGAATGGGCTGAGTCTAATTTGAGGGAGCAGCTTGCTCTCTTGCAAACTTTGTTATTAATAGTCAATGAAGAGCCAATCTCTGAATCAGAATTCATTGATTTATTGAAGTTATTTAGAAAACACAGTTTTGGTAAAAACCAAAGTTATTATGAATTACTGGAAGAAAGGCATAAAGAAGCTTGTTCGAGAATTACCTACATGGAAATTTGCATATTTATGGTGATTTGTGATCATAAAAAAATGTAAGTATTTAACTGAAAAATATGTAACATACTCAAAAACTACTAACAATAAATTAAACATTACTAAATCCATTAATAATAAAATGTATCTAAATACATAAGTATTAAAGTTTTAGTAAAATTCCAGGTAATATTTCTTAATTATGCACCTAAGACAATTTAATAAAACTGTTAGAAATACCTTAATAAGTAGTAAGACCTATTATAAAATTTTAGAGGTTAAGAACATACTGTGAAAGTTAATTCAAAAGCAAGATTTATGCAGGGAACATTTTTTTTAGTTTAAGTGGATAAAAAATGATAATGATTTCTTATACTTACATTAATAATTTTCATCTTTTTTAATTTATGAGTTGGTTTTAACAAAATTATTATTATGTACGTTAAGGTTAAAAATTGCTAACATTATTTAAATCATCAATTACTGTTTCAATAATACCTTCTGTTTCAATTCAACTGTTACATTATTACTTTTTTTTTCAGTAAAAATGTATCCAATTGGTTGGAAAATACAAAAGACTTAGTGGAGAGTGAGCTTACAAAGCTCGAACTATCTCCAGAACATAGTGCTATGCTCATAACATGGATGATGCTGACACTTCAGGTATACCTGTTTTGTAACATTACATTATAAAAATCAATATGCAAACATCAATTCCATATGCAAATGCTATTGCCAGAAATTATTTTATTTACCCATTTATATATTTTATCTAATATGTCTGTATTAGCTACAATTTAATTACAAATGGTTGTCTATACTAGTTAGCTTTCTAGATTGCATATTTATTGTGATTTATTTTTTTACAGAGTAAACAACATGCAAAATTATTTGAAAATCAATATCAGCATTATGGCGCCACAGCACTTAGAATGAGAGTTTTTGAATTCTTTCAACAGATGTTAAACAATTCTGTTTTTTCAGTAAGTTTAAGCACTTCATCTACATGCTCATTGTATAATTAAATCTGAAAGAATATTATAAAATAATCAAAATAGTTATTAATATATAGAATGACACATAAAATTAATGCTAAGACAAATCTACAAATATGTATATTTCCTAGTGAAGTGCTTGCAGTGGTTACGGGTTGGGTTTGGAATTAAGTCGCCTGAATTTGAAGATTCTGTCACTGTGGGGGTTAAAGGGGGTCTATTTGAAGCACCCCCATGCGATTTTTGCTGCCAGGATGGCGTCAAAGTATTTTTAATTATTTTTTTAAAATATTGGTAAATCACTAACTAAACGTGAAATGGAACGTATATTTAACTAAATTCCAACGTTTTTGACGTTGCATCTGTAAAAGTCATCTCAAAATGCGTAAAATGAATCACTAAGCCGTCTATTTTGTTGACAGTGACAGATATACTTTACGTTATTCCGTTGTTTCCGAGCTTACGTGAATGTGCTCCCTAACGTTTTTATCTGCCTCCACCTGTTTTTTGACGACTTCGCTACCCCTCTTGTTTACAGATGGTGATAGTTATAAATTCTGTTTATAATTTAAAGTAATTATAAAAGTTAATATTTTGGTGTTTTATTAAGTGTAAAGCCGCGTTTTCACTATACGAGTACTCACGGACCGAGTGTGTTCGGATGCCTACTGGGATGCTACTCGTAGTGTGTAAACATGTAATCTGAGCGTATTCGGACAGCGTCATCCAAACAGAGTGGAGTCGGATGAAGTTCTATTTTTACGAGTAAACTCGGATAATTTTATGGTTACAAAATGGCGCCAACTTAAAAAAAGTGGAACGAACATGTTACTCTGAGGTTTGTGGAACTATATGAAGAGGAAGAAGTATTGTGAAACGCGAAATTAACTGAATATGTTGCCAGTGATGACTTATCACTGCTGGCCGTTTGAGGTCTCAAGATCTCTCAGCGAGCTATGAAGAGGGCTATGCTCAGGGTTTCTCTGTGTGATAAACTTAGAAATTAGGATAGAACTAGAGTGACAGATGTAGCCCAACGGATTAGTACACTGAAGTAGCAATGGGCCGGCCATATAGCTCCAACAACCGATGGGGAAAAAGAGTTCTCGAGTGGCAGCCTCGTACCGGTAAGCGAAGTGTAGATGCAGTAACATCGAAGTTGATGGATGTTTGTGGCATTCCTTGGGGGAGGGCAATGTTCAGCAGTGTACTTGTGAAGGTCCGTAATAATGATGATGAGTGTTGTGACATCTTACTAGCGTTTGGGTCCCGGGACGTCTCGTGTCTCGAAGTCCTGGGACTTTTCGTAATTTTAGTTGTCTCGAGTTTCGGGAGTTTTAGGTCGAGACTTGAGACGAGACAAGATTGTCGAAATTGTTATGTAATCGTTTTTATTTTCAAATAATTGAAGGAGCCTGGCACCATCTGTTGGTTTAATGAGTAATTACTTGGTCTTCTACATAACTACTAAGTACACAACACAATAAATGTGTAGTTGTTGTTGTTTGACGTTATTAAAATTGGTATGATTTTTAATTAAGTTCGTTTTATAACTATAAGATTTATCTGTTTAAAAGTGGCGGTTTTAGGGAAAAAGAGAGTTCTCTATGCTGCCCGTTGCTCCACTCAGTTGTAGGTTTCCTCCCAATGGTTTTTGCACTTAGTAAATAAGAACAACTTTACGTATGTGGAGATTGAATTTGTGTGTGATTAAAAGAAATAAACAAAGCAATTATTAAGACTGAAATTAACTTTAAACTTAATAAGATTTAATTTTCTGTTTAATAAATGTTGATTTTTATAAAAACAATGCCTTTTTAATATGTTTCATAAGGAAACAACTCAATTAAAATTCCTCAAAAAAGGCTTAGCTCTCTTAAAAATTTTTTTTTCTTAAGTCTCGTCCCAGGAATTCCCGGGACTTTGATTGTTGGCTATCTCGTGTCCCGGGACTTTGAAATTGTCGGGAATTCCCAAACCCTACGTCTTACCCAGTCTCCACTATAATTCACTTAAGTTACCAACAAATATTTATTATTAAAAATCCAGTTCTAAGCTGTGTTTGAAGTTTCAAGTCTTACGCTTATTGGGTAGTTAATTCAAAATATATAACAAAATTGTACCGAACAGACTACCAGTGAAGAAAGCAAAATAGTAGTAGTATTTTATAAAAATGTGGTAAAATACTCAACAGATGAAAATGTATAAAACTAAAACGCAGCGTAAGTGCGTACTGCGAGGATGGACCGGAGGACACGGTGGAACACACCGTGGAGGTGTGCCCTGCTTGGGCGGAGCACCGCCGTGTCCTCGTAGCGGCGATAGGCGGCGGCGACCTCTCGCGTCCGGCCCTGGTCGAAGCCATGGTCCGGAGCGAGACGGAATGGGATGCCGTCACCACCTTCTGCGAAGCAGTGATGCTAGCGAAGGAGGTGGCGGAGCGGGAGAAGGAGAGAGCAGCAGCTTTCCTCCCCGGCCGCCGCGGGAGACGCCCCGGGCGTCGGGGGCTACGTCGTGGCCCCCGGCCACCGTAGGCGCGGGCCTGTGGACGGCGAGCAATGGGTAGCTCGTCGTCCGTCCGTCTAATGACGACAGGCCGTGTCGACGGCGCGTTTTGTTCCACGCGCGCCTCAAAGAGCTGTCAGCAGCGTGAAGGGGCCCGCAAGGGCCGACGCCTGCCGGGGCTGCGGACTGTTCGAAAGAGATACCGCGGCTCCGGAACGTAAGGGCACTGAAGGAACACGGATGGTTTTTAGTCAGTAAAAGTCTGACACTCCCTTTCGCTCCACCCAGAGCGAAAGGGGTCATTAGATGATTTTCCATCCGCAAAAAAAAAAAAGCGTAAGTGCGTACAGGCGTGTGTATACGTCGGTTGCACATGTTACGCTGCATTTGTACGGTCTGCGTGTCATTTAAAAATAGCAGTATTTTTTTTAAATATTTGATGAACAAATGTCTAATATTTTTTCATCACATAATTATGTTTTGAATCAAATATATATTTTGCTTCAAAAAATAATCTTTTCGTTTAATTATTCTTTCAGGACAAGTCGAAATGTGCTTCGATAGCAAGACATCGCATGTTTCGACTTTTAAACGATCTCTGTAATAAATTTGATGGAGACGGTACATTGAGCCAGCAGCCTGGTGTCATGATACTTTGTTCAGACTTACTCCAATCGCCTGAAATTGCAGAGGAGTTTTGGAAATTGCGTCAAAAGGATGACGAATTTGGTGTTGTATCATTATGGAACACAGCTTTGGAATATTTTCCGTACAATTTTATTGCATTATCAATTTTGTCTGCTGGATTAACCCAAGCTGGGAATTCAAGTATTAGACATGTAAGTATAGATGATTAACTTGCACATATTTTTTTGATTATACACACTTTTGTATGTGATAAAGAGATTCTGCATCTATATTATAGTTGTAGCATGAATGGGTCGGCTCGGCCGGGATGGCACACACTCTTAAAGAATACCGAGGTAAAATAGCAACTTAATGCTGTTAAAATAGCAACTTAATGTTTTTATATAGTGCGTTTAGAGAATTAGAGACCCTTTTCACTGGAAGCGAGGCATTCCATCTTGCTCCTCAGGAATGACAACGCATCTGCATTTTGGTTCTTAGTCGGTGATAAAAGTAAAAGTCTATGGACCACAACATACACTTACCATCAGGTGGACTGTGAGTTCGTTTGTCACCATTACTCTATTAAAAAAATTGAATAAAATATTGCTTAAATATCATAGAGGAAAGATTTTTTGTTTGTTTGTACCAAATAAGTTCCAAAACTACTTGACGGATTTTAACTATTTTTTCACCAATAGAAATCTAAATTTTCAGGAAGTAACAAGGCTATAATTTTTTTTAATTAGAGATTCTTAAGAAAATTGCTATAATGTAACCCAAAATAGCAAAGTTTTGTCTATAAAATTCATTAATTGGAGAAAACTATTGATGATACATAAAAAATATGTACTACATGATTAAAGTGCTCTTAATTACCTACTTAAAAGTCCGCGTGGGGATATATGTAACTATCAAAGTTAAAGTTAATGATTTCTTATATTTACGCGAACACTACACATTTAAATAATACTAGTTTTTATGGATTTTATTGCGTATATTTAACTATAAATACTCGACGTTTCGAGAGCTTTACAGCACCCATGGTCACGTGAAGGACTGAGATGTTCAACGTCCAGATGTCATAGTTAACAGCGGTTACCATAGATTAAAATTTAACTTTTGTTCCGATCTACACAATATAAACTTATGGTACCTTGAAGTCTTGCAGTTGTATGCTTGGGTTGGGATTTAATTTTATTTATTATAGGATCCCAAGCAGATGGTAGTACCCAGCCATCTTCTCTATTGAAATTAGGATGTTTTTTGATTTCAATAGCCCCGCGAATCATCCTTGGAAGGAATCGGTGTTCTTTAGCGAGGATTTGTGGTCTATCAAATCTAATGTAGTGACAGGGGCGATCCTGTACGTGTTCACAGACTGCAGACTTCCCGGAGCGTCGATTCTTCACATCAGCTATATGTTCTTTAACGCGGGTTTTAATTGACCTTTTAGTTTGTCCTATGTAGGAAAGACCACATTCACAATCAAGGTTATACACTCTTGCATCTTGCAGAGGGATGTTACACTTGCTGATGGTAAAAATTGACCAATCTTCTTCGGCGGCTTGAAGTATGTTTTGATGGAAGCGCGCTTCAAGATGTATCCAATCTTGTCAGTGACTCCTCTAACATATGGCAGTACAGCAGGTACACGCTCGACTGTCCGGCTTCACTCGTTCACTGTGACGTAGGCGCGGGACCCGAAGCTTGTTGTCATGCAAAACTTGCTTGACGTGTTGGACTTGCTTGACGTGACTCGGCAGCCAGGTGTTTACTGTCACAGATCCCTCGTGCTCTCTGAAATAAAGATTTACCCACGGTAGCTAACTGTGAAGGATGGTGGTGAGAATCACCGTTTAAATATCTCTCTGTATGGGTCTTTTTTCTATACACAGTATGGCTCAAGGTGTTATCAGGATTCCGAATTACTAACACATCTAGAAAAGCTAAAAAATTGTTTGCCTCTAACTCCATTATGAACTGAATTTTAGAATTTATAGAGTTAAGATGGTCTAAAAATGCAGTACTTTATCTAATGGTAGATTCTACAAGCGGTCCGTAGACGACACTTTCACAATTCTACCTTTAGATAAAGTAACTGCATTTTTAGACCATCTTAGTGTAACGTCCCTCTGCAAGATGCAGAGTGTACAAGCTTGATTGTGAATGTGGTCTCTCCTACATAGGACAAACTAAAAAATCAATTAAAACCCGCGTTAAAGAACATATAGCTGATGTGAAGAATCGACACTCCGGGAAGTCTGCAGTCTGTGAACACATACAGGATCGCTCCTGTCACTACATCAGATTTGATAGACCACAAATCCTCGCTAAAAAACACCGATTCCTTCCAAGGATGATTCGCGAGGCTATTGAAATCAAAAAACATCCTAATTTCAATAGAGATGTTATTAATTCAATCAAATCGGACATTTAATTTCGAAGTTATCACGAGTATAATAATGCAATACGCGAACCGTTCGACGCCGCGCCGCAGCGACATTTACTACTGTTAGAGTAAAAGTTAAAGTTGGCGTTCATAACATATCATAACAAAATTACTAAATACACATCCAAACGAAATCGCGGGCACATCTACTTGTTTTATATATCTTATTTTCTAAACTCCCAAGAATTTTATTCTATTTTCTATTATATATTTCTAAGTCCCAAGAATTTTCTATGACATTACATTATTTTAATTTTGTTCAATTACCTCACGTTTATAACATAATCACTAGTTACATTGTGTTATCACTTTATTACCTTAAAATTGTCTTCATCATATATTTTCAGTTATTAGCGGAATTAAAATATCTCCCAGTATATACTGAGATATATAACCCCAATGCGGTACCGATAATGTCGCTTCAAGGCGATGATGCCATAATAGGTCGTGAGTATCACCCACTCGGTGATCCCTCTTACCGCATCGAAACTGGATCAAGAGCCACCATAATGGAAAGGAAGGAGGGTACCATGGTACATTTTAGAACGCCATACTGTTATTGGACTATATTTAACAACGAGATTGAAAAAGTATTGGATCGAAAGCAACATCATCAGCATAATATTAATGTTACTTTAGAGAGAGTATATGAAGGTACGAAATTGTTAAAAGGAGTTTTACAATGCCTAGCAGGGGAGACAGAAATTCCAAAGAGTCTTATAGGCCCTAGTGAAGGAGTTTTTGACGTTCTGTTGAGGTTTATGAGGGCAGAAGAACCACCTTTGCCATTATTAGTTGAATGCCTTAACGTCTGCACTGCATTGATAACATTTTTTCCCAAGGAGATTCATTTAAGGTATATTTGTGTGTTTAACTTTGAATTTTATGATATGTTAAAAATATGTTAACTATGTAAGGCTTTATTCACTCTAGGTTAAGAAACACTGGTCTTTTGCCACGAATTATAAACCACCAGTTATCGCATGTGGAGTATGCGAATGGCACGTCATTCGACTCGTCGGCTGTCGGCACCTATTTGGTTATAATTGAACAACCCAGTGGCTCATATAACTTTTTAGGGGCCTATATTGATATGCTGTGTGCATTTTATGAGGTAAATATGTTTATCATGATAGTTCAGGACTTAAAACTTTTTGGTGTTCTTTATATACTTGTAAAAAATAAATGTGTTATCATTAGTTAGATGTAGTACCATTGTAAGAATATCCACTACCCTCGTCCCGTGGGTATCGTAAGAGGCGACAGGGGGAAATCAAACAGAAAATTGGCAGCAGCATCTTCCTCATAACAACATAAAGTAATAAAAAAACTGCAGTTGCCAACCCGCTTGCCAAGCAAGGCAACTACGGAAAAAATCTCACCTATGAGACAATCATGGAAGAGGCCCATGTTCAGCAGTGGAATGATTTCTTATAATGAATATAATGGAAAAAAATTGCGAATTACATCGCATATTTTTTTAACCGATTTTAATTATTTTTAATCCCCGATTTGAAACATACTTTACAGCACCCGTGGCCACGATGGGGACACTAAGGTGTTTTCCTTAAGTGACGAAAACACCATCACTTCAGAATGTGAAATAACTGTGTTTAGATGTTTGAAATCGGCTTTTACTTTTTTATTAAAAGTAAATTTTTCGTTAAATTGTCATAATATCTGAATGACTTTTAGGTCACATATGTGATGATATAAAATGCATTTTCTATACTGTAATGTTGTGCAAAATGACACATGTATATACTGGGTTGATCAATAAGTTTTTGGATATGCAATGAAACTTAATTTTTAACGCAATCGCCTTTTTGTTTGTTGATGTTTTAAAAGTAAAGATACGATACGTATTCGCTCTAGGATGGCAATGCGAAAGTCAGGTAATTGCCCGAGTTAGTCGGGCACGTTCTCGCGTCGCGGCTGTACTTCGCTACATCGCGTAAATCTTCTATTCGTGGCAAAAATGCCTTCCTGTGTTTTTAGGTGGTGCACAAATTACACACCAACTGTTAGAGACAAGAAACACGCTGTTTGTTTGTACTTTTAAATTGCTTGATAAATTTTTAATCAGTTATATTGTAAGGATAAGTATATTGTAACGATCTGTAAGAAGCCGGGAAACTGAAAAGTAGCAAACAACAGAAAGTCAGTTACAGATCTTTAAAACTAATAAAAAATGATAAATATGTCACCCATACATATATTTATTCGTTTGCTGTTTGTGTAATGTTGTATTCGTTTTATTTATACATCTGTTTATTTAATACAATGCTTTTATTACAAGTTCCCAAAAGATCCGGTTATTAAAGATAAATGGATATATTTATTCTTAACGTATTATTATTTCCCATTTTTTTCTAATTATAAAACGTCTAAAAGCTAAAGCTAAGACTAAAAGTGTCTATTATTGAGACAATTTCAGTTAATTAGTTATATCTTGGTGTGAGACTCCTGGAATATCAACAGCTGTTAATAGAAAGTTATCGAAACGTGCGTTGGGCTGCATTATGCCCAAGTGAGAGCGAACGCGCAATCTCATTCTCTGTTTTTCGCACACTTTAATTATTGGACCGAGTGGCTACGCCTCCTGAGATTTCTCGTTTTTATAAAATATTACTTAACGCAATCGTTTATAGATTAATCTTTGTTGCATGAATGCTAAAGATATTTGTAGGCGTAATTGTGTATTTATTGTTTGTCTATGTGTGAGAGCTACGACCTGGCGACACCAGCGATCTATTGTCTTATTATTTAGATTTCTGTGGTTTCATGCGTAGTGGCCGTTGTTGGCCGCCCGAAGCGAGTATCGTCATTGCAGGCGGTTCTGCCGCGTTTAAATTTAGCACACTAGTATGCCACTGTAGAATAAGATGGAGTAGTTTGCTAAAGTAGCCTGTAGTTATTCAAAACCACTTTCAGTTCTAGTTTCTCGATTTTGTATACGAATCAAATTCCCGCCTAATTTGAAGTTTTATAAAAAAAATTGGGCATACTCTGTTATTTAGTTTTTTCGCACCTTGGCTACTAACCAATTTAATTCGAAATTTCTTGATTGTTTCGAAAAAAATAGGACCCATTCCTATAACTCATCGGTAAGTGTCCTATTCCTAAAACTTATTGATCAGCTTGGTATATGCTATATTCAAAACTAAGGGTAGGTCTTTAATGTACATTCATTTGTAACAACTTATGATGCTTATCTTGACATACATTAAACATTTTCAGACATCGAAAGAAGAACGCATAACGGCAGAAATAATTCTACCGGGTCTGGTACTGATCTTACGTGAAGTCTTCCCTAACATTTGTGGCTGGCGGTACATCAACAGTGCAGAGCGCAGAGGCTTGTTGCAGCGATGCGCCAAGTTTCTCACCTCCATAATGGAACCCACTAAAGAATCCAACAAAACCATCGAACTTGTTAAACGGACGTGCATACATAGTCTATTGTATATGGAAAACGCTCTAGAGCTACTGAAAATAGTTTCTATTGGTAAGTTTTTGATAAACATGACTATATTTTATAATAGTTACAGGTTTTAATGTACTGTGTTAAAATACTTATTGCTGGCAATTGTAATACTCCACCTTCTGTATCCAATGGCTACCCGCTACTCTCAAGTCGTCGGTCTTAGGTGCGAGGATGACCTCCTTTGCGCTTAGCTATTCATGGCAAGACTACGATATTTCTGCTCCAAAGGCCATTATTCGTGATAGCCGCATATTTATGCTTTTTCTGAATGAATCTAGAAATAATTTTAAATGAATTGAGATTTTGAGCATTTATAAATACTCTAAGCTATATTTTATAGTATTTTTTAGATTATGAAAGCACATAATATGTTCCTATGTCAAATCGAATAATTTGCAGGTAATGAGCAACTGGAGCGAATGATACAGGACGACACTAACTGGATATCGGGAAGTGGCTCACACTACATATCATCTATACAGAGGTGCCTTGCTATAGTAATGTTCGCACTGAAACTGAAAACCCTGGTAGCTGAGGAAAGCGAAGTAACGCCAATGGAGAAGCTGATCTTTGCTCAGAACAAGCAAAAAGATTTGTTGAAAGTTGTGCCAAAAATAACCAGTTATATAAACCACGCGTTTAATAAAAGTCTTCCAGTACTAAGTTGTCGACTTTTGAAAAAATTTGCTGATGTAAGTCGATTATATGTTTATGAATGTTCAGTAAAACTTTAATCTTATATGATATAAACATTTTAATATCTTATTTTTTATATAAAATCCATCGCAGACTAATTAATGTGCTTAAACATGTTTTTTTCAGCCTAATATCTTTTTATTATCTATTTACCAATTACCAATAAAAATATAAAAAATATTTTGCATTACACTTAAACAAATTTTCGACTGTATTTTTTTAATGTGTTACCTCAGAATTTTTTTTTTAGGTGAACCGATTTTTATGATTCCTTTTTATTTGAAATCTGGTGCTTCTCATACGGTCCCATATAAATTTAATCAAGATCAGACCAGTAGTTTTTGAGTGATCCTTAATAAAGCGTATTTAATTGACTCTGACTACATTGATGATGTTCTCATTTTATTTATATTGAAGTTGGTTGTACGAAGTTTTTTATTTTACCACTTGTGTCATTTGTTTTTTTATTTCAGGGTTTTCAAATGTCACTATTCGCCTCCTTAGACATGACCGCGTACCAAGTACGGGTTATGTTTTTGGATCGCTTACGCGACGAGTATGAAACAACTGAACTAAAAGTGGCCATATTAGAGTTTGTTGCCACATGCATTGGTACGCAACCAGGGCTCACTGAAGCTTTCTTTATGATGAATCATGAAAGATTAAAAACTGAAGAAAAAAACAAAGATACCAGCGAAAAGGAAGCAAAAGAACCAGAAGACAGTTTTGAAGGGATATTAGGATATATGGCTGACTATCTTGGGAGTGTTAAAGCGGTAAGAACCTTTTAACAAAATTACTTTATTAACAAACCATACTTTAACTCAATTTTTTTATTTTTTAATATTATACAGGACTAGTGGTCGCCTAGTGGTCGAAATTCGATTCTGTATTCTTCCCTTTCAATTGCATATTTGTATAGAAAACACAAAAATTGAATTGAATACTAAGAACTTAAAAAATCTTTGATTTTGAATTTTGTAATTCAAGCAGATCGTGCTAAGTTAAAATATATCATAAAACCCGCTAATGGAAATACTGTTGCCAAATTTGGCAACGCTTTTTATCAGTTTTACGTTTGATAGATGTAAGCAATATAACACAAAGTACTAAATCAAACAAAATATTTATTTGTCCTTTACATAGAAAATAAAATCAATTTAACTATATTAAAATAATATATTATAATAATTCAGATGAGAAAAGCAAATCTAGGCATAATTTTCTACAAATACTATTTCGAAGTTAATGAGGAATTCAAAATGATAATATTAAAACAAAAAGGAAACGTGACATGTTCACAATTACTATCAGGAAACACTGCACCAATGCCAACTCTTATACCCGCCCTGCTTCTATCACTTCTTGACTACCTTCAATCATCGAGCCGTCTCTTTCATGATTCACTGGAAGCTGGGTCCGAAATAGAGAATATTGTCATATGATGAAACAAATTAAAATTACTGTAAAAATGACATTGGCCTTTTTAATTTTAACTTTATACATAACTAGAAACGAACATATAACTGTCAGGGTCATAACTCATGTCAACATGAAAATATAAATCAAATAAGAGTAAAACATTTTTGCCTTATTACAATACAACATGTGAATAATAAGTTATTATTAATTACTATTACTGCTGGTCCATCGTTTAAATGCTCACTACCCAAAGTAATGACAGTAGATATTGGTCCTTTTAGCACCATAACACAAAATTAAACATAATAACACTCGGTTTCAGCCTTCGCCAATTTCCGTGTTTGGAAAACTGCTTTGAGCAAATACGACCATTCTTAGTCCAGTGATTTTAGGCGCGTGGAATTACTCTCATCCAATATTCTTTATCATTTTTAGGTATAGTAAAACAACGAAAACAGAAAGATGAATGTCGATATAGATTTGTTGACTTGGCGATATGCCTTAAGACCACATCACTACTGTTTGAGTGAATTTTATATTTAAATGTATTTCAGCGATGATATGTACAAATACAGTCCCTTTTTTACAAAGAAACAAACTTTTTATTTTCAAAACGATTTGAACAATGCGAAAAAGCAGTTTTTACGCATTGTTCACGCAGACTTACGAATTCTGAATCATGATTGCAATTGTGAAGTAAATTAGCCAGTACGATCTTATTAACTTTTTTATTTAGTAGTGTAAAAGGAGACCAAAGATGACCACTTGACATTTCTATTTCATCGCAATGAACATCTTTGAATATACTTGTCTCGTTTTGCCTTATTTGAAAATTAAATTAGAAAGAGTGACAAGTATATTGACTCAATTTATGTAGCATTGTAAACGAATTGTTGTTGTGTGTGTAATTACTCTAAGGAATAAATATCAGTTCTTGAGTTATTAAGATCTGAAAAGTGTCATTTTTATCATTTACTGACTCACTCATCAAAATCTAGACGACTTATACGGCTACTTAAAAACTCGATATTTTGCATCAAGGTAGACTTTAATGATTTAGTAGCTACTATGGGACTTGGCGCCCATTCAGATTTTCACATTTTATATATCTATGTCAAACGTAATTTTTTACAACCTTGGACCCTTTTTCACATTTGTTTGGTGGGATATTCAACTATTATACATAATGATGCTACTGTTAATAAAAAATGTAAAGATTTGCAAAATTAGACAGTGTTTTTTAAACCCAGTATTTGCTATATTACACAGGTATAACGCTGTTTGTTGTACTGATATACCAAAAAGTATTTTCCCTAGTGTGTTACTTTTAAGTTAAAAATGGCGTTATTTTATAAAGTAAATTTTCCTTGTTTCCAGGACGCCAAATTATTGCACAGTCCCTTACTGGCTTGTATCATGGCACTTTTTCACGCACTTTGGAAAAACAACATGCAAATTTTAATCAAGAAGCTACGTGAGAATCCAAAATTTTGGGAATACATGACTAGTCCACTATTTAGCGATATTCAACCTGGTTTGAGAACCTATGGACAAATATTCAATGTACTTGGTATAGAACTATTTGTATCGAGGGATAAACTTGAACCTAATCTTAAAGAGATGCTGGAACTGTTTTTTGATACAAACAAAAATCATTTAGATAAGTGGATAAACTTCATCTTCTCTTTCCACGGCAGAAGTGATGACGAAGAGTCTGTCGACAAAGTTCCTGTGTGGTTGAGCTTGTTAACCTCATGGAAAGACTTCATGACAATCTTCTGCAAATGTCTACCAATAAGTTTAAACATCGCACACAAAGCCAAAATGGTCGCCCCTTGCATGAACGCTTTATTAACGGAATTGGATGAGTTAAAAGACAGTCGACTAGTTGTAATACTTGCTGAGTTGTATGTAATATTGTTAGCAAATTGGAAAGAAGATTGTTTCGATAATCGAAATGCGAGCGCCAAACAAATTGATAGTCTTCTCACGAATACGGCGGTTGTTTACGAATGTTTGCACCCAAGAGCAATACGGGCCATATTGTCGATTGGAACAGTCGCTATTAGCAGCTTAGATTATGAAATAAAAGCAAATAGTGTAACTGCTCATGGCATAATTCGATCCGTGACAAATATCAACAGTATTGAGTTAGAGAAATTGCTTGATAACATCAATGATAAAACCGAGACTGTGCGAGATGACCACACCAAAGAGGAAGTGCCACCTGTAGTTCTATCTCTCGCCATGTTAGAACAATGCCTAGACTTGTATGACGATATGTTCTCAGGTCTGTCACAATGGTTCCAATCGACGAAATTCGTAAATAAATTACTGTGTTGCCTACAAGCCTGTTTGCAGAATCGTCGTCATTATTTCACGTCTTTAGCTGCACTGAGATGTCTCACAGCGTATGCTCGAGGTCCGTTTAATAAAGATTTACTAATGAGCGATGTCGATCAGTTCCTCTGGATGCAACTACTTCCTCCCAAATTTGAAAATAATGGAAATGCTGCATGGAAACCACAGGAATGGTGGCGTGTGTATGCTTACAGTTTGGACTTTATATCCATGATGGTGATGAAACATGGTCAGTTCTTCGCAACCGATGCTATAACATTTGTAGGTGTTCACTTAGAACATTTGATTGAAGCAGTGCTACTGCCACGACATGTTTACAACATGGACGCGTTAAATCTTTGTGCTGCAGCTCTGAATCTGGTTGTGCAGTTAGTCAAGTATGAGACAAGTTGGCGTCTTCAGAATATTAACTCTTTAGTTGGGATTATGGTAAGTGTAAATTTACTATTTGTAACTTTATCTTTTTAATAACATTACATTGACGAACAAGCTAACACGCTAACAATGTAAAGTCTGTTCACTAAGATAGTGTCGGTACACCCCGAGACGCACTTATTATTTTGCTTTTATTATGTTTGTTCAATAAATGTTTTTATTTAACCTATGATGTCGCGGCATTTGGCAAAATGCTGTACGTGCCATGGCGGAGCAACACATAGGCGACCATATCTTAGCTAACAGACTATACCAATTGGTTATTGACTTTTTTTTGTTTCAACATACACGAGGAATTTTTTCTGTCGTAACAAACGGTCAAAACCAAAACAATTATATGAAGGCAATACCTGTTTTATGCGGGATTAGCCGCAACATTCATAGAACATATTACAGCAGTCATATAACATTCATAGAAGAGCAGTCCATAGAACTTCCAATAAAGAAGGCTATTGTTTACTCTCTATCTATTATCTTTACGGATGCGGGTTCGAATCCCGCACGGAACAAGTATTTGTATGGCCTACAAATAGTTGTTCCGGGTCTGGATGTTTGTCCTTGTGCAATTTATGTTTGTAAACTGCCCTTACGATACAAGAGAAAATCTTAGTGTAGGGGTAACATTTAAAAAAAAAGTAATTCCATTGTTATCATGATTATGATCAATAATAATATACTGTATTATTCACAAAAGTCAAAGTAAAATTTAAGAAATGCTTAGTGCTTAAAGTTTCTTCCTCTTTTTCACTAAATTACAATAAAAAGAGACAGGTATAGAGATAATTAATATTTAAGATGTTGAAAATTATAGTTCGGCCGTTCAGAGAATGCGTTCCTGACACGTCGCGATTGAACTGACGACGTAACTTTGTAATGGCGTTGCAATTACGATACAAATATTTTTGCAGGTTGTTTACCGTTTTAACAATTGATGAGCATTAAAACAACATTATAATATCAATAATCAATGATTGTTATAATTTTGTGCCAAACCGAGTGTCAAATAACTTGGTAAACAATATTTTTCTAAATCTATTCTGCGCTATTACAAGGTTATGTCAGCGCTTTATATTTGTAGTGCTGTGCTAACAATAACAGGCAATAACAGTATCATAATCTGTTCTTATACAGTTATACTTTATAAAATAATACGTTTTGTTTTTCTTTTTAAGAATTTGAAAATAATGGACTATAAGATAACTTTTATTAAATATAAAAATAAAACTACGACCAAACCGAACGCGCGAAAGAAAGTAGCATTTTTATATTTAGGTTGAAAATGGTAACCCCAAATGGCGTTATGGGCCGCCATTTTGTGACGCTAAAACAGTCGTCTGTTGTCGTTTCGTGCGCATAGACCACGTTCTTCAAGTGTTTTCGATCTGTTTTTATTTGATTACCCGGCTTTCGTTTAATGGACTGTTTCTGCTTTTCAAACTGACATCGGCGCTAAATCGGACTTCGATTGTGTTTTGTATTGCGTTCTTTTTACTTTTGGTGCATAATAATGCCTAAACGTGGACAAGCATTGAAAAGTGGAGCCCGTGAGTTAATGATCAAGCTGCAAGATTACTTTGAGCAGGAGCGGCAAAATGGCGGACCCCTGTTACCTGTCGAACAAGTACAAGAACGCGTCTCTCAGGTGCTTGGAGTTAGCAAACGAACGATAACAAATATTAATAAAGAAAAGTTCGGCTCTACTGGCACGGAAGATAATATTTTACGTACTCCGAAGAAGAAACGTAGAACTAAACCCGTGACAGATATAGACCTTTGACGCCGATGCAATCAGAAATCATATATATGGTTACTATTCCAGAAATGAATATCTCAACAGGAAGAAGCTTTTGGCATCCTTAAGAGAAGCTGGACTGTTTAGCGGGGGTAAAACTGCTTTAACCAAAATCTAATAAAAAGATATTGGTTTTTCGTATAAAAAAACAGACAAAAGAAAAATTTTATTAGAACGATACGACATAATTTTAAAATGGATAAGTTTTTTGAGAGAAGCAAAAAATATTGATAACTGGGATAATGTCGTGTTCATTGACGAGACATGGCTAAAAGCCAATCACACGGTTTCCCGTTCTTGGACGGATGATACACAAGCGTCGACGTCGAAAGTACCAATGGGTAAGGGGGCCCGTCTGATAATATGACACGCAGGTTCTGCAAAATACGGCTTTGTGGAGAACGCATTACTGGCATTTCAAACAAAAACCACAAATGACTACCACGAGGAAATGAATGCCACTACATTTAAAGAGTGGTTCCAGAACGTGCTTTTGCCTAGCCTACCAAGAGCCTTCTGTAATATTCATGGATAATGCCTCCTATCACTCGGTTCAAATACAGAAACCACCTACCCAAGCTAATAAAAAAGAAGAAATGGTGGCTTGGTTACAAGCAAAAGGCATTGACGCAAATATGCAGATGCTAAAACCAGAGCTAATTAAATTAGTTAAAGAAAATAAAGCGGCAAATGTGCGATACGAAATCGATGAACTGGCTCTGGAGTACGGTCATCGCGTTCTAAGAATTCCACCGTATCATTGCCAATATAACGCGATTGAGCTAATCTGGGCTCAAATAAAAGGTTACGCCGCCCGCCACAATACTTCCCCGCCATTCAGCATGAAAAAGATGATGACCCTATTAAAAGAAGCCTGCAGGGAAGTCACAAGAGATGACTGGGCAAAGGTTGTTGAGAAGACTAAAAACCTGATTGTGGAACATTTTGACCGAGATATCAGGATTGATTCTGTTATTGATAATAATATAATTATACATGTAGGCGAAGATGATGATGAAGACACCACCTCCTCAAGCGAATCGGAGTCTGATTAATATTCTGTACGCACATTCAATTCAATGTACTTTATTGCATAGAAATACAGATTGTAAATTTGTAACAAAGAATAAATAAAATTATTATATTAATATTAATTAGCTTTTTTGGTTTCCACTTAAATTACTAAAATATAAATTTTAAATGATTCCGCCAATTTAAAACGAAAATAATCTTAAAAATAACGCGGCGGTTCATTTTGGAGGAACGGTAACGAACTCAGTGTTATGTTGTGCCCATCACTAGTCGTGACTGACTGATAGGTGTCACGCATTCTCTGAACGGCCGGACTATAATTAGCTAAGATCTAGTTTCTTCTAGTTTGAAGATTACTAAATTTGAAGTTTATTACGCGGATCTTAGCTATTTAATTTTTAACATCAGTAATGTTGTGGCGGCGCTGTCGTCGCGCCGCAAGTGAAAACACATCGAAGCTTAAATCACGTTATCAAAATTCCGAATCATAAAACATTATATAATATAGAACATCTCCGAACTATCACACGGAGTATCGGCCCCTCCCCGGGCAGAACACCTTGCCCGGCGGGAGATCTCCCCTTTTCGTCCACGGCCACAATGTAATGGATTTAAAGTAACGCCTGATTTCATTAATTTATTATTTAAATAAGTAAGGGCGATAATGATTAACGTTATATAATATGCGTTATTTAGCGCAGCATTAGCGCGTGCGTGTATCAGTGCGTGACTGTGATGCTAAGAACGCGGCGCACTTCCGAGCCCGCACTGCAGCTTCACGACGACACACAAGCTGCACAAGCTTCACAAGCCACGCAAACACAGGCTGTGCTGCACAGGTAATTTCGTAGTCCCATCCTGTTCTTTAGATTTTATAAATTGACTAACGAACTATATTTGCTAAAATAATTACTTCATTGCCCTCGTTTGGCAGGCAGTAAGTGAGCAGAGAACACATATTTTCGCACTACACCATCGCACTATCACTTCCCATATAAATCTGTGGGACTTGCGTTTGGCCTCTAATCAACAGTGGATTTAAAGGGCTGATAAAAAGACGAAAGGAATATAAAACAATGAGGTTAAACATGGACGTCTAGAATCGTTGTCGTCGGACTTAATGTATGTTTTTAATTTACAGAACTCTTGAGATTCTGCACATGGCAACACTTTGTCTCCTCGCGTTCAGTCCAGATCTGTTGTCACTTCTGGCAGACCCGGGACTGGACCTCGAACGTTGGCAGCCGCTCGTTGAATTGCACTTTGGTGCACCGAAGATATCATATGAGCCGTTCCCTCAATTGACATTTGGGACCATACTCTCGGCTATATGCTTGTTAACGCGGTCATTGAATCATGTAAGTTCAAAAAGCAGCTGTTGATTTATAGTCAACCAAATCTAAGAAATACCTTTTGACGTTTCACATTTATCATTCCGCAATAACTTTGTACAAACGTACTCACAGGTTTTAAAATAACTTTTTGGTTGCTAATCTTCTTCAGCGGCTTGAAGTATGTTTTGATGAAAGCGCGCTTCAAGACGTAGCCAATCTTGTCAGTGACTCCTCTAACATATGGCAGTACAGCCGGTACACGCTCGACTGTGGCCGGCTTCACTCGTTCACTGTGACGTAGGCGCGGGACTCGAAGCTTGTTGTCATGCAAAACTTGCTTGACATGGTGGAGCTCTGCAGCCAGGTGTTTACTGTCACAGATCCCTCGTGCTCTCTGAAACAAAGATTTACCCACGATAGCTAACTGTGAAGGATGGTGGTGAGAATCACCGTTTAAATATCTATCTGTATGGGTCTTTTTTCTATACACAGTATGGCTCAAGGTGTATGGCTCAAGGTTTCTATACTGTGTAAATAAAATTAAATCCCAACCCAAGCATACAACTGCAAGACTTCAAGATACCATAAGTTCATACTGCATAGATTGGAACAAAAGTTAAATTTTAATCTATGGTAACCGCGGTTAACTATGACATATGGACGTTGAACATCTCAGTCCTGCCCGTGACCATGAGTGCTGTAAAGCGTTCGAAACGTCGGGTATTTAAAAAAAGTTAAATATACGCGATAAATTCCGTAAAAACTAGTATTATTTCAATGTGTAGTGTTCGCGTAAATATAAGAAATCATTATAAAAAAAAAATAACTAAACAAATAATACACTAAAAAATTAATTATTTGTTTTTGTTATTAATTATATTTTTAAGTTCATACATTTAAGTTCATACTGCATAGATCGGAACAAAAGTTAAATTTTAATCTATGGTAACCGCGGTTAACTATTTTTTTTTATTTTTAAATTCTTTAAATTACATGAATCATGGATAACACAAGTTTATTTTTTTTACTTTGTCGACGTAAATTTGTGTAGGCAAAAAAACTCATATACATGGCCGCGCTGAAAAAACCACTACGTAATTTCAATCACCCGCCATTTCGGGAGCTTACTGTGCACAATTTTGTGATTTTGTGTTTATCTTCTTATTTTGTGATTCGGTTTTAACTTTTTGGACTGTTTCTTCTATATTCGTTGCAGCATGTACCCATGTCACAAAGAATGATTGGGTAAGATAGGTAAAAAAACGAAAATATTGATTATAGATGACTTTAAAAAAGACATTAATTTTGACTGCATTATTGAAAATCAAATAATAATTACTCGAAACAACGACATCTCAACTAGTTGTACTGAAAGTGATTGAATAAACTTATTTTAATCTAGTTTCAATCTTAAATTTTTATAACTGTGCCTCTAGAAATAAGCAGTAACAACAAATACAAAGAAACGGATAAATCTTGGGTTTTAAATTATTCGTTTTTAATTTATTCTGGTATTATTAAAACCAAACAGTAAATGATTACCAGCTCGAAATAATCGATATCGATTTTTTTAAGAATCGAATATTGTACGTTCCCAATTTTTGGTTGGCATGCTTGGTGCAATATGTCTGACAGTTGTCAAAAGGTATTTCTTAGATTTGGATGACTATAGTTATCCATGTTTGCTTTTGAGATAGTCACTACATGACGCATGTTCTATTTCCATTAAATTTGGCCTAGCATGTTGGTATGAATAGATCATATTGTTTTGTAAGGTGTGTTGTCTGATGAATTTTATAGAGTTATGAAGGACAGGGATTGAACTCACAGCAAGGTGACGTGGCTACTTTATTTACGCAGAGTACCTGACATACTTCAACTTTAAAGTGAATAATGTAAAATATAATGGGCTACTTACAGAACAGTCATATTTTTTATTCATAAATTAATGTATACGTAAGCAAAAAAAAAAATACTCGCACCAAAACATTAATATTATTATAGTTTCGTGTCATCTAACACGAGACACATGTAATAAATAATTAGAAAAGAAAAACTTAATTTAAGAGGCTCTACTTGAGTAGTACTGAGTTGTTTTTTTATATTTTATAATAATAATAAATAAATGATAGTACATACAAACAGCTTTAAATGTACAATACTTTCAAACAATTATTTAAATTCGTAGATTGCAGTGAAACGCGCTTGCTTTATTTAATGATTTTGTGTGTATGCGCAGGCGTACCACAGCGAGGAGAGCGGCGGGTCCCGATCGCCGCGCGGGCGGCGGCGCGCGTGCTCGTGCAGCCCGGGCGAGCGCCGCGCCGCGCGTGCCGACTCCGTCACCTCCGCATCGTCCGCCGCCAGCGCGCCGCCACGCCTCGACCAGCGGCTCGCCGCCGCCGCGCTCGAGGCCGCCGCCGCGCTGCTGGCTTCGCAGGTACCGCTCGCACGCGCACTGTGCACCCGCACTGCCGCACTCCCGCACCTCCCGTGCCGCCGCACTTCGACCAGCGGCTCGCCGCCGCCGCGCTCGAGGCCGCCGCCGCGCTGCTGGCTTCGCAGGTACCGCTCGCACGCGCTCTGTGCACCCGCACTGCCGACCTACTGCGCCACCGCGCCTCGACCAGCGTTCGCCGCCGCCGCGCTCGAGGCCGCCGCCGCGCTGCTGGTTTCGCAAGTACCGCTCGCACGCGAACTGTGCACCCGCACTGCCGACCTCCCACACCTACCGCGCCGCCGCGCCTCTACCAGCGGCTCGCCGCCGCCGCGCGTAGACCGCGGCGCCGCCGCCGCGCTCGAGGCCGCCGCCGCGCTGCTGGCTTCGCAGGTACCGCTCGCACGCGCACTGTGCACCCGCACTGCCGACCTCCCACACCTACCGCGCCGCCGACGCCTCGGGCCGCCGCGCCACGACCAGCGGCTCGCCGCCGCGCCGCCGCGCTCGAAGCCGCCGCCGCGCTGCTGGCTTCGCAGGTACCGCTCGCACGCGCACTGTGCACCCGCACTGCCGACCTCTCACACCTCCGCGCCGCCGCGCCTCGACCAGCGGCTCGCCGCCGCCGCGCTCGAGGCCGCCGCCGCGCTGCTGGCTTCGCAGGTACCGCTCGCACGCGCACTATGCACCCGCACTGCCGACCTCCCACACGTACCGCGCCGCCGCGCCTCGACCAGCGGCTCGCCGCCGCCGCGCTCGAGGCCGCCGCCGCGCTGCTGGCTTCGCAGGTACCGCTCGCACGCGCACTGTGCACTGTAATTAGTGTTGGGAGGTAACACAGGTAGAGAAGTATCTATACATCGATTGGATGACACATTATCTATGTTAGTATTGAGCATACCTCGATGTGAACACGAGTAAACAAGCGACTCCTGAGTGACAACGTGTTCTATGTTGAGAGGTCCGCTGTGCAATAATTCAGGGTGTGATATTTGAGAACCAACCTGTTGTAATACCTCTCCTTCTTCGATGCCAATAGAAAGAGGCGTAATGCAATATGTGTTCAAAAAGTTTCCATTACCTGTATTTATCCTTAAATAACGCCGTAAGATTGCGAATAGTTGACGAATATTTACAAAGCGCATGCAACATGCTTTACCTCTAGATGACGCTTTGTAACCCTTTGGCCCCTAGCATGAGAAGCAAATAGCCAATAATGCATATAGCCATATATGTGTTGACATGCAATAGCAACGGAAACTCAATTGCTTGCAAGGATTCCACAACGATTCCTAAAAAAAACTTATTAAAGCATTTTTTAAATTCGAGAATTCTTCTTAACTCTGATCTCTATTGATATGACCGTCTATCGAACTCAACTATTGTCTTGCACGTCTAAATTTAATCATTGCCCATTATATAGTAAACGTGGAAGAATTTCTCTTAATGCTAAATATTCAGCATTTAGTTCTCCAGCATCAGGATTAATAATCTTTAAAATTATAATCCTTAAATATTTCCAATGTATATTGGCGGTAGAAAGAATTCCTAATAATTATTATGTAATAAATATTGCTCACTGTCCATGCATTTGGATTTGATAAATCAAATGCAGCACAAGCAACGGCTGCAACAGCGGTACATTGCTTTCCACGAGAGTTTATGCCATAACGGTCAATTCCTTGATGAAATGAACTGCGCAAAATAGATTCATCGTTGTTTACGTTTACAAACCTACTGCGTTTGATTTTCCTGTACTTTTAAAAGCCTTTGATGAGACTCATCATCATGAATTTTAGTAACCTGAAGTATTTGCGAGATATCGTAGTTTAATACATTTTCAAAATTTGGTATGACGTCACGGTACAAGCTGTTATGTCTTAGCAGCCATTGTAGAGCAGTTTTTAATTTTTCAATGTCTATATTGAACTGTCTTTGCTGTTGTAAGTTCTCTCTTGTTTCTATTACAATGACCAATCCTGCACTAGTAAGTAGAAGTGGTAATTGCTCCGCAACTTCGGCAATGTCTTGTGCAAATAAAACCACTTGTCCTTTACACCAATTTTGGTTGAACCTGTTTTGCACTTAAATAATATTCAGAAATGGAATCATTCTAGAAAGTAGATGTTGCTCTACATCTGATAAACAATCTATTTCTGGTGGTATAGGTGCGATTCCAATACTATAATATATCGAGAACACGTTACAATTTTATTCATTTCTACCAATTCATTGGGTAGTAAATTTCGTCGATATGAAGCTTCCAAATGGTATCTCTGCTTAGGGTACAATAAAAAAAATCTACATATCGTCAGACTACACGACACATCTGCAAAAACGTTGATGACCGATATAAAAGCATCCTCCCTAATAAATAGATTTCCATGTCGTGTCTCGCGCATGTTCTCGAAGCGATTACGTCTCTGCTCCTCATTTTCAACTCGCAATGATTAATAATTAGGCTCTCTCATTGCAGTCTTTGAATACGTTGATGGTGAAGTTCGATTCTTATTCGATCATTAATAACATCGAGTCGGTGCTCACGCTGTTGGAGAGTGTCAGTGTCATTAGCCAGTCGTTTTCGAATAACATTTAGACGATGCTCGCGCTGTGCAGACAACTCGCCGCTCAAACGTTCATGGATACGATTGAATCGACGGATCCTATTACTTTGCGACTCCCGTGACAATTGAGAACTGCCATGTAATTTCTCATCTGAGTTAATCTAGCATGACGCGACAATGATGATTCTTGGGAACAAGATATAGCATTCCGTTTGTGATTCTTGGATATACGTTCCGTATTTGCAATAACAGTTTCCTTAATTCTATCTAAATAATATATATAAGAGCCATGGTAGCACAGATGGTTAGCGCTCGCTGCAAATTTCGTAGTACGCGAGCTATCTGATTTTCCACGTGCTCGGCGGTGAAGTAAAATATCGTGACCAAACCTGCATGTCTGAGAAATAAGAAAAAAATTTCGAAGACATATGAAGTTCACCAACACGCATAGGGGCAGCGCGGCGGTCACTTCCTTGCCATAAAACCCACAGAAATGATAGGAGTCTTGTGCCCAGCAGTGAGACGTATATAGGTTGTAACTATCTATAGGCGCAAAACGTACCGCGCTTCTAATTAAACGAATACGATGGACTGTGCATCGTTGGTATTTATACTTTAAATGAAAGTAATTTTACGGATCTTATCGCGTTTGATTTAAACTTTTTAATTCCCGCGCTTTTAAATTAAACGCGAAAAAAACTGTAAAATTAGTTTAATTTAATGTGTAGTATTCGCGTAAATATAAAAAATAGTTATTCTTTAGTTAAGAGATTTTTTTTTAATAGGATAGGGTGACAAACGAGCACACAGTCCACCTGATGGTAAGTGGTTGCTGTGGCCCACAGGCATCTACATCTATCCTCGATTACGAATCAAAATGCAGATGCGCTGTCACCCGTGAGGACCAAGATGGAATGCCTCGTTTCCAGTAAAAAGGGTCTCCGGTTCTCTACACTCACCATACGAAATACAGCAGCATTAAGCTACTATTTCACGCTGGTATTCTGTGAGAGCGTGGTCCTTCCCCGGTCGAGCCGACCCATTCGTGCTACATCTATACTACTAATATAACTGCAGCATGGCTCTACCACGTAAAAAGATAGAGATAGAGTATCTAATTCGCGTGATATATCTTATTTACAGGCTCTTCTGGCGGTACGAGATCACAGCGTCCCGTCTCGTCACAAACAACTGGTACGACGTGAATTAGCATCGGAGCTAACGGTATTCCACGATTTCGTTCGCAAACGAATATTGTGCGCAGCTCACACGCGGCCACACCTCGTACGCAACAAACTGGGAGCGTGGCCGCTGCCGCCCGACGAGGAAGAACTCAAAAGGATTGAGGAAGCGAGAAAAGAAAGAAATCTTTCTGCAGACGAAGAAGAACGATCTTTACCCCCACCACCACCTCCCAAACGTGCCTCAAACGATTCAATGCGTGCATATATTTTACGGAAACACTATTTGGATAAATGTGCTAAAACCCCTACAAAAGAACCACCTTCTCCTGTGTCGCACTCCACACCAACCACAGATAAGAAAAAAGAAACATCAAGAATTTCTAAACGTGTTTCTTGGGCAGAAACTACAAGGGACAGTGGTGAAAGTCTGGATAGTTCGGTACAAGAAATTGACCCAGTGTATTCAAATTTAACTGACGTACAGATAAACAACGATGAAGATTTCTTCCATTTCATGTCGGTTGTTTTTCTTTATGTATGTCAAACTGAATTGTAATGCATTTATATAATAAATCAAGTTTTATCTTATGTATTTTCATACCAAAAATAGCTTTTTCTACGTGCTAAAGCGACGATAAAGCAGTATCGGTTTTAAGATACAGGTTTCAAAATACCAAAATATTTCGGGTTCTAAGTCGAGTGGAAGAAGTAGGAATGCCTTCGTGTCGTTATAGTTTAGCATTATTTTTATATAATTAATTTGATCGTACATAATGATTTTTAGCGTAATTATCATTTTGCATGGCTTAAGCGCAAAGCTCGTAGATATGTTCTACTAGCGCCTAAAAATCAAGAATCCTACGTTTTGCGCTTAAGATCGTATCTAACAATCATATTGAACATATGAATGATATAAAAAGCACATTGTTAGAATGATAAATTATTGTCGTTTTAGTGGCTTATGGTGTAGATTTATGAAGTCCGCATGGAGGGTTAAACACGATAACTGAAAAATATCAATTGTTCATCTCAATCTTTTTTTAATCTCTTCATCTATCTTATGGGAAACCATGGAATGTAAATGACAGTTTAATTTTGTTTTATAATTAATTTTTTTCGGCTGTAAAATATATGTAAAATTTCGAAATTTTTGGTGTTTCGCTCGGCCTCGGCCGCTGCGCCGTCATGATTGGATTACTGTATCGTTTGTTTACATGTGCTCGTGATGTAAAATATCGATCGCTATAGAAATACAAAATATTCCAATAACCCAATTTGATACATACTTGACCTTGGTAATATGTATATTATTATTAATTTTATAATTACAGATTTTTATTGCAAAATATTATTTCGCTAAAAGTATGTAGGATTTATATATAAATATACTTAACGCCTTAGACTTTGTGGAGTGACCTGAAGGTGTACTTCGGTCTGCTACTGGAAATCCTCGACGAGTGGAAATAGTTAAGCCGAGATTGTGCACATTATGTTAGTTATGATGAGACCTTACCTCCAGACAGTGACGCAAGGTAAAAAGGGGCGCTGAAATTTTTAAACAAAAAATCGAATCGAATTACGAAGATAAGGTAATTAGTGAAAACGTGTGATTTAAATTACTATATATGGATTTACCAGTTAAAAGTTATTTTATATTATTACTTTATATAATCAATCAAGTTTTAACTTAAAAAAAACAAATTCGAGTTAAAAAGAGCGAAACTCGTGTACCGGTAAAATAATGTTATTAAGCTGTTCTCATTTATATTTCAGTTTTAGTTTTGGCCAGCTGCGCCCCGCGGTCAAATAGTTAACTAACATACCGGTCAAGTGCGAATCGGACTCGCGCATCAAGGGTTTCGTACCACCACATGATGTGACTCTTAGGTCGAGTCTGACTAGCAATTTTTTTGAGTTGCAATAGTTCGAATTTAATATATTATTTAATAACTTAAGAATTTAATAACTATTGCATATATTACCGTTTTTACGATAGAGCTTATTAAACAAAAAAGTTTTTATACAATATGTAACGTAATTAACGCACACCCTCAGACACCCCAATTAGTATAATGATTTCTTAAATTTACGCGAACACTACACATTGAATAAAACTAAATTTACGGATTCTATCGCGTTTATTTAACTGATTTTACTTATTTTTAATTCCCGACGTTTCGGATGCTTTACAGCAACCATGGTGATCCATCCCTCCCCCGTGACCATGGTTGCTGTAAAGCACCCGAAACGTCGGGAATTAAAAATAAGTAAAATCAGTTAAATAAACGCGATAGAATCCGTAAATTTAGTTTTATTCAACCCCAATTAGTATATTATGTTATAATCGTAATACACTGAATTTTTAGTTAAACATTTTTATGCACTGATTATTTATCAAAGTAGTTATACTAATTCCGGTAGAATGTTGTGTTCACAGCACAAATCCACGAACGAAACGAAGACTTTAACGTGCTTGAAATAAAGTTCATTTTTCTTTATTTTTATTGAACGACAGAATTAGTAATAATACAAATAAAACTGCACTCTTAAAAGTCTTATTGCCTTAAGTTACGGTCCATTTCAGTTTGTTTTGACTGTACAGATTTAGTGTGACTGTAACTTACGTAGTTTTAATTATTTTTGGGATAAAAAATTACCTATATTAAAAATGATAGAAATTAATTCAGTAAACAATTCTGAACAAACTACTTTCTCAAAGTGCGTTAATTACGTTAAATATTGTATACATTAATAGTAGGTAAGTACTTTAATAAGTAGGTAGGTATGTAGTTGTATAAAATAGAACCACTTCTTGGCAGTCAGGTGAAAAGACCAACTTTTAATGCTAAGCATTTTTTAAGCAGCCAACCTTGAAGCATGCATAAAACTTCTCATAATAGATTGTCAGAGACACTTGACAGACTATTCATCATATTTATAGATGTTTACAATCATTATTTTTTCGGTTTCGGAAATATGCGACACTTTCCGCTTCTTTCGTGGTTACGTAAAGTCTGTAAGATTTTTATGTAAATGGACCCGATTTCATACTAGTGATAATATGCAAAACGTCACAAAACAATAACAAAAACTACAAAACGTAATAATACAACTAACAAAACAAACTTAATAAAAATTAAAACTACTATAACCGAAATATTTAAATCCCAAACTATAATAAACTTACAAAACAAACTAACATAATAAAAATAAAAACAACTACTATAACCGAAAATTTTAAATCTCAAACCATCTACACGCAAGCGCATCCCAAAACAGAATGAGGAATGAGTTCTGCTCCATCCGCTTTCTCAAATACGCACGGCATGAGACTTATCGCAAATCGCGTCGAAACAGGTTTATTATCTCTGAATGACCGCTTCCTTCACCCTACCCCGCACCATGAGACACGCTTAGCGCATAACGATACGTAATCTATAAAGAAAAGTTTGGAAGCAATAACTGTCGTTTTGTTTCGATGCTAACATAATACTTGAGATCAATGTACTTTTTTCCGCCTGTCCTAGAAACGTACTATAGTCGTTATTCTTCCCCTTTACTAATACATACCCCGTATTATATTTATATATCGAGCCATTACCGCCGACTTATTGTAACTGAAAAAACCAAATTTTACAGGAGAAGGTATTTTTTATTTATTTTTACAAATAATTGCGCTATTGAATTGAAATTTAACATATAATTATGAAGTCTTAGGTGTAGCAGTTAAAATTTCCAAAAAAGAAAACAATAAGGTTTTTTTGGCGTTTACAATATTTTGCTGTCTCAAACGAACCACTTCTTATGATTCCGGGCGTTTGAGATAAAAATAACCTGGTTTTAGTTTTAACGCAAGCGACAATAGGCCATTTTAACTATGGATCAATTTTCATAAATAAATGTCTATTTAATAAATTTAATATAAAATATCAACTTAAAATATTTAGTTTAATATATATCATATTGTACATTATTTTAACATTTTAAAGAACACTGAGATCAATGAATGAAACTTAATATAGAATTAGTAAACTTAAAGAATTATCGAGGAAATTAAATGTATATCTATAATTATTTTAATACTCATTAATTTAATATTAAAAAAAAACACTTAGATTAAATAATCCAAGTTCAACTGAAATTAAACCTTTAATTCTCCTTATCACTATCATCTGAATCAGTTTCAAGTAACACGTCAGGAACTGCTTCATCATGCTTCATATTTACATACTCTTCATGGTACCTGCATGAAATTATATTTTTATTACACAGATCCAGGAGATCTTTGTACTTGGCAGCTGAAAGTTCCGAATGGTATAACTGTACTGGTCTATTAATTATAGTTGCCGTATTGCCTTTTTATCTAATAATTAGATCCATATTCAACTTTTGTTTATTGCTATCGTCTAAAAACCGTATTGGAGTGTAATGACTGTATTATTCTCTTTTAAATGCACCATTCTTAAAGTTTTAAAACGCTATTTTAAATTTAAATGACAATAAAGCTTGCGAGAAAGACTGGGAGTCTATGAAATCAGTATAATTCAAAACATGTACAAAATAACTTGTTGGATCGGATCTAGAATTAGTGATCATAGTTGGTGAATCAAAAGGAGGCCTCACTGTTTTATTACAGATAGAACTTTCAATTGTACTGTGAATAGAGTCAACAGGCATCATAGTGTGTCCCCCGTTGTAGTAGCCGTAGTTGCTGTCTTCAAAAAGTGAAATAACATGGATATCATTGCACGGTTTCTGTTTTGCCTAGCACAACTATCTGCATACAGATTTATGACACTGGGTTCCTTTACTGTCTACTAGAGTCAAATATTTAAATAGAACAGTAACAATTTCGTTACAACCTCTTTTTCCTTGGCATTCGCCCCACAAGTAATAATATCCAGCCCTCGTACCGCTTTCGTAAATACTGTTATTATAAAAGGCGTATTTTCGTGAGTAAAATAGGGTTACGCTTTTACCATGTGGAGTATTGAGGACTTTTTCTTAAGGTGAATCCCTGACCAAAATGTTGCGAAAGTGCGTTTTTCAGACTCTATTATCTCATTAGTTATGAAAAATAAACTACATCTAAAAGTACATTATTAATGTTCGATATCTTATCATCGCATTCCACGTTCTAATTTATTTTTATGTGCTATAAATACATTTAAAATCAACTTTTAAAAAATGACTAAAATTCTTGATTACATGCATCTGTTGCTAAACGCAACGCTCTAATCATTTGAGGATAACACTAATGGATAGATAATTAAAAAATCTATATTCTCCACGTTTTATTTAAATTTTTAAGTTCGTTTTTTTCTCTTTTAATTGAAATAATTCCGAAAATTGTGTGACTTCTATGATAAAGGGGGGTGCGCAGTAGAGGTGGGTCGTCGACGTAATTTTCGTCAACGAAACTAGACCGTCTATTTCCATCCATCGACTAGGTGATCAACTAGTTGAATTCGCCGACTAGTTAACGCGATAACGGCCTACGTTCAATCGACTAAAGCGCGGTGTCTGTGGGCGCAACGCAACGACGACGGTTACTTTAACTGGTTTTGTTCACAAAAAGCACTCTCAGCTCTGACTAGTGTATAAATACCTACTATCGAATTGTACAATCAATTGATTTAAGCTTCCCTTCATACTTTTCCAGGCTTAGGACTTGCTGAATACGTTTTGAAAAGATTTTACTATCGTATTTCAGGCGTATTTAGAAGCTTTTATGTACATATTTAATTATTTAAATTTTTTATTTACATATTTTTACGGATAGGTGTTTTAATGAATATTTTTATTTGCTTTTTTTGTTTTCGTTTTTATTAATGTATGTACAGAAGAATCATGTAAATGTAAATTATTTTACAAATGAATTTAAAACCCTTTAAATCTCTCCTCAGGTGTATTAACGTTTAAGAACATAATTTGCTTAACTTTACTCGTCGCTAGTCTCGTTCGCCTTTCATTAAGTATAACCTATACCTGCTTTAGAAAACATCCGTTCGCAAGGAACAGATGTTGCTACAATATTATAATGGGTTGTAAATATTTTTTTTTAAATTTGGGTAGACGTATTGGTGTTTTCTCCACCATTCAAGGGGGCACGGCAAATGTCCCATCTGGTCCTTATTTGGAAGAATTTCATCGGAAAGGTACATGTCTACCTCTTTTATGGCTTTTGAAATAGGTGTACCTTGCGAAGTACTCGATGCCACTTTGTCAAAAATGTTCCTAGGGCTCAAAGAGCTGAGGTCGTCACTGTTGTTGTCGGGGTTAGCGGTACTTTCAGTGACTGTGGAAGCAATAGGTACTGTGTTGCGTTCTTTCTCAGCAATTAATGCGGCTACTAATTTTCTGACCCTTTCTTTGGTTTTTGTTGCCTCGGATTGGTCTGAAAATCCTTGCATTTTAAAACGGGGATCCATGAAAGTACACAATGCAAATGTGCCACTCGTTTCGATAAGTCGAAATCGTTCTTCTAACCCCGATTTCAGCAAAAGCACTATATTGAGCGCGTCTGGTAATATATCATCTCGATTTATGAGCCTTTGACAAGCTTCTTTTAGGCATCGTGTCACTATTATTACTGAACTTCCAGTAACATACTTTTCTCCGCTCATTGATGCAGTTACCTCTTCAAACGGTTGCAAAACCTGGCATAGCTGCTTAATAAGAGTCCAATCTTCAGGGCTAATTGTTGGCAAATTCCTGTCTGCAAAAGCTAAAGTTGTTCGGATGGCATCTTCAAGCTCCACAAATCTTTTAAGCATAAGAAAGGTGGAGTTCCATCTAGTATCCACAGCTTGGATCAACCGCTTAGGTTCTTGACCTTGCTGAATCTGATATTTTTGTAATCTCTCTGAGGATAGTGTGCTTTTTTTAACATGCGCAACTATGCGTTTAACTTTGTCGATATAAGATGTTGTTAACTGAAGCGCGTGTTCGACTATGAGATTTAAGCTATGCGCATAGCATCCAAAATGCTTCCATCCCAACACCTCTTTAACAGCTTTCACTATGTTAGCGGCATTATCCGTTATCATAAAGTTTACTTTATGTTTTATGCACATTTTATCCACTAATGCAGTTATCTCTGCAGCGATGTTATCGGCTGTATGGTGGCCTGGAAACTGACAGCATCCCAACAATACAGTTTTGAACACCAGCTCTTCTGTTAAATAATGCCCAGTAAGGGCACTAAAGCTCTCAGTTTTTAAAGAGTTTACACATCTGCAGTTAGGCATATGCTCTGAACCTTCTGCCTAAGTTGAGTCTGTGTTGCGTCATATAGTTTAACGTATGCTTCTTGCATAATTGACTTCGACAGCGTCTTCCTAGTGGGTAGCTGGTATCCAGGTATCCAACGGCAGAATTTTTTAAACGCTCTCTCTTCCACTATCGAAAATGGATGGAAACTATCTGTGCACAAATCTAGCAAGTCTAAGTTAATCTGCTTTTTTTGTTCGCTATTTATTTTTTTATGTAAAAATGAGTCCAATTTTTTTTGCCTTTTCTGGATAGACGCGCTCGAGCCCGGTAAGCTAGGATCCTTAATATCTACATTATCCACATGTGATACAGGGAAAGGACGTGGCTGTTGCTGAGTCTGGGCATTTGATTGCGATAACAACGATGTAAATATGGACACATGCTTTCTTTTTAGGTGGCTTTTTAGATTCGCAGTCGTAGATTTATAAGCAAGTTTTTCCTTACATAAGTTGCAAGTAGCTTTCCCACTTGAATCTTCGTTTTGAAAGTGATGCCATAATTCACTAGTACTACGTCCCGCCATTTTAAATAACAACAAAATTTATTGTTCAATAATTCTACACTAAACTACACCAAACTGTTATTCACTACACTATTACAGACTATGTCTCTATTCTATATTTACAAATAATTACTTACAATATCTAAAATCATTTAAATATGTACAAATTCAACTCATAAACATTCAAAAGAACTTTCCACTAAATTAGCACTCGCGAGTCACGCACGACTCCTGTATCCTGTAGCTTTGACCTTGCGGCGCGAGTCGACAGTCGACACACTAATTTCAAATTTCTAAACAACGGCAACGTTTAGGTAAATTACAATAGTCCACCAGTCCGTCGACGTACTCTTTCGCGCAATATCAGAATGGCAGAATGCTATTGCCTTTTTACTCAAACAATTCTATTAAAAAAGAAATATTAATTCCTACGTCATATACTTAAGGTTCAAATTGGTTTGATCAATGATACTAATTCAACGAACACATGTACTTATATTAACAGGGTATGTTTACGGCGTCGACGTCGCGTTGTCAGTAGATAAGAACGCTGTGGACTCTGTTTAGCCGTCTATGATTTTGACTAGTTAGCGAATGAACTGTAGACCGTCGAAGCGTCGATTGAACGTAGACCGTCTATTTAAACCGTTCGTTGATTCAACGCCCATCACTAGTGCGCAGAGTGCAGGCGGCATTACGCTGTATGCGTTCATACGAGGTGGCCGCGTCGCTGGTCGCCGCGCGTCCGTATTTCGCCGCAAACATAATATTATTTGAGTACCTACCAACCGATGCGCTTACGTCACGGTATATTGTAACTCGGCCGTATCTTAGAAATATTACAGCCGTGCGGTACGTAAACATGCGATAGGGATGCCTGCCTCCAGCATTTTTACATTTGCCCATTGATTTATGTGTTTTATAACTCAATGCATTTTCCTACTTTGTGTTTCCATTTAGTTTTATGATTGTACTTAAATATAATTTTTTATATAAACAAATATATAATAGGTACTTTGTGAATTGAATAGGAAGTGTTCAATAAAAATGCGTGTCGTTTTATGATTGGTAGATTTAATTAAAAACCATGTTTATGTTTGAATAACAAATCGGTCTTATAAATTTGCGGCCGAAAAATATTTGCGCCTCGGCTGAGACGTACGAAATGCTTTATTATTAAAATTTTAAATATAAAAAATCCGCATTATAATATAAAGCTTAATTAAAAATTGTTTTGGGAAACATGGACAAGTTGGAGTAAAGGAATATCTTTTACTTGGTTATAGATACCTGCAGCTACTTTACAATTTATATGTTTGGTTTTAAATGAAGTTTGGATTTATTATTTTTTTACTTTTATTCTATTTTCTGAAAGGGTCCTAGGAAAGGAATTATCACTGCGTGTTGGCGAACTTTGCATGTCTTCGAAATATTTTTTTTCTTATTTCTCAGACATGCAGGTTTCCTCACAATGTTTTCCTTCACCACTGAGCACGTGGTAAATCAACACTTAAAATTGCAATTACAATATTATTGGTGCCGGCGGGGATCGAACCCGGTTTGCTCGCACACTGAAAATTTTAGCAAGCGCTAACCATCTCAGCTACCACGGCTCCTCTCCTCTCGAGCTAGAGACTTTATTTTATTTATCGTCAGGCCTGTTGGTCTAGTGGTTAGTGACCCTGACTGCTATGCTGCAGGTCGTGGGTTCGATTCCCACCCAGGACAAATGTTTGTATGATGAGCACGATCATTTGTTCTGTGTCTGGGTGTAATTTATCTATAATATTTATGTATTTAGAAATATATAAGTATGTTTATCAGTTGTCTAGTACCCATAACACAAGCTCTGCTTAGCTTGGGACTATATGGCGTTGTGTGATAGTTGTGGAATATTATATTATTATATTATTATTATTGGGGTATCTGTATAGTTTCTCATCTGGTTGGTTTTTATAAATATAAATTAAAATGAAAAGATAAATATACATAAATATCAATAAATAAAATAAATACAAAAAATATACAAATAAATAAAGATCCAACCATATTAAATAAAAAATAGTCTCCTATCGTTCTCTCTATGTTTTGATCTCCTAAAACGAGTTTGAGTTGGTAAAATCAAGGCAAACTTAGGGTAGGGTTGTCAATTATTATTTTGATAATAAAACTAGTGAAATTCCGCGGTTTTATATGCGCAAGCGTGAACGTAGTTTGAACATAATATAACCTTTATGTTTTACATAAATATCCTAAAAAACTTATTATTTTAATATTTTACTAAGTACCTATAAAATTAACAAGTTTATTGCATTTTTATTTGAGTAATTTTTTATGCAATTTCTTTATCTACGTCTATTTTTAGGAACCTTTATTTAGTCTGAATCATACATAACACTATATTACTGATTTACTTACTTATACGTAGTTTTCTTTTTTGCAGTTACAAATATCTTGTGAGGTTGAAAAAGGCAGTAATGAAAAAATAATAAGCATAATAATAATTGACGTCAGCCACTTCTTTTCATAAAAATTTCAGATCATGGTCCATTAGGTTGCAGCTTCAGCGAACCACAACTTATAATAATAATAATAACAGTAATAATATAATATTATTTTGTATTTATTTTATTTTATTGATATTTATGTATATTTATCTTTTCTTTTTAATTTATAATTTTTATATATTTAAATATTTATATAACCGAACCAGATGAGAAAATTATACGGCTCCAACGATTTTAGCGACGAACGCTTGGATTTATTTTTAGAAAATGTCCTTTTATCCATGTTTTCAGGCAATAAAAAAACTGCTACAATATAAGAAGGTAAATTTCGACAAATCACTAACGGTCGTTATAGCTCAGGTGGTATGTCGGTCGGCGTGACATCGGAGTTCCGTGGTTCGCGTCTTGGCTTTGGTCCCGCTTTTTTTTCCTTTTTTTTCAAGTTCTCTTCTTTTATGATAAAATCTATTATTTCAAACCCTTTTTTTAGTAATTTTTAAATTATATTAATACAAAAATTTTAATTTTAAAAATTTAAAAAAAAAAATATCTATTTAGTTACTAATGCTATATTTATCATTTTAATAATTACCTACCCAGTAGGTAAATATTAAAATAATAAATGTAGCATTATAAACAGTAAATCTCCCTCAAACTCAATTTACTAATATTGTTCCTAAATAAGGAATAGCAGATAAAAGATTAGTAGGTAATAACTATTGCTCCTCAAAATTATATTTGACCTCAAGGGAAAACATATCCTAAAATTCAGTAGCTAAATAAAATAATAATACCTACTATTCAAGTATATTTTCAATATGTAAGTAAATGAAAATAACAAAAATGAAGCACCATTGGCATGTAAAGTTCGAATCCATAATTAATATTTCGACAAATATTATAATTTACACTATAAATTAGCAGTATAGTATATAGTTAAAAATAATCAAAATAGTCTAATATATTATCTAATATTAATTAGATAATATATTAGAATACATAATTCTAATATAATGCAACTAATATATCGAATAAAGAAAATTAAAATACATTTATCATTGTACGCCGTGTCTATTTCCATAGAATAGTTCATTGACATCGAAAAAATAATACTACGTTCGTAGCAGTAGGTGGCGTCTTTTGGCGATTTCTTACGCGATATATTGTAGTGAGCTTCGACAGACCAAACGCTCAAGGTCGTTCGCTGGAGGTAGCGCCTTACGTCACAGCTTACAACACAAAGAGAGGTAGAATTAGAAGCTTTGCTAATTTTTTGATCTAAAAACAGATTTTTGCATTTGTCTTTATCTAGAATGTGATTTTTATGTTCTGTGGTTTGTACAAAAAACAGTTCTGCTTTCTGGCGGTACATTTTTGTACTTCTCACAAAAACGCACTTATCTTTTTGGGCAAATGAAATTCTATACATATTAAATTCGGTTATTGAATCTTGGTTCCTTTATTTTAAGTGGTCAGTATGCAATTTTTACAAGTTTGTTTTGTTCTGTAATTTTCGAGGTAAGTATAATTTGGTACTTTTGTTGCGACAATAGTGAGATGGCACAGCTGACATCTCAATGAAATATATTAAATAGTTCACTTTTTCTGCATCAGATTTCTTGTGAGGGAGGGGATTATTTTTGTATTTTAGAGTAAAATTCGGTATTTTATTTACATTTTCAATTGTATACCTTAAAATCATCTGGGATGTGATATGTCTTAAGCAAAATCTGTTGACAAATTTTAATGATTTGACCCTTAAAGTTTATAAGTAAAGTAATCATATGATATTTGGCGAATATTACTAGTCGTTTACTTAAGAACTAGTCGTTTTCTTAAGATGCCTTTTGGTAAAGTTTTTTTTTTGTACTCTTTTTCCCTAACACTAAGAAGTCTCTTCTTTATTTTGTTAAGGCATCTCTTCTTCTGAATCACTGGACGCCGACGGTGATTTCCATGAATCCTTCGAATCAATATAGGACAAGTCATAAAACGTCATGGGTACATTATGTTCTGATTGGTTAGACTGTGAACTGGTACTTGGTTTTGGTTGGGTTTCATCTTGATTACATCCGAGAGTAGAAAAACTTTGATTAGCAAAAGCATTATCTGAAAACTCTATTCACTGATAGGAACACAATACTACTACCTAAGCGGCTGTGTTGTTTTCTGTAAGGTATAGGCAAGTGCTTCCCAAGTCGGTTCAGTTATATACAAAACCTTACATCTAACAACAATAATTTTAGCTAAGTTGGTAACAGACTAGGCTAGCAATAGAAGGAGAACAGACGGTTGCCAAAAGCTCAGTGGCGGCAACGCTTTAGTGGTTACCAAATTTAAGCACGGAAGCCACGTGTAATCACACAGGCAGAGCCACGCATAATCGCTAGTCAAAAATTTGTAGATTTTGGTTATATATTTGCATTCATTTACATAGTTCGTGCCAAATCGATTGAGAAAAACGAACAATGACCTTTCGGTCGTTTAACCAGGGGTTCTTCAATATATAACCAC